AATAAATAAACAAAACAAAACAAAAATTTTATTTCTATTAGAGTGGTTGTTACAACCAGGGCCGACCAGGGCTATCCCGAACGGGGAGTGTAGAGGGTATTCCCTCCCCCCAAGCTGTTATATATTCAATTGAGTTAGCACATTCGTACATTTAGCATTTCAGTTTGCAAGTTTTAAAGTATAGTTGGCAAATGTCAAATATTGAGGACCTTTTTTTGTGTGTGTGTCTCTAGTTGGCAAAAAACACATACGACCCCCCACTCCCACATGAGAGACTTCTTTGGGATGGCCCTGACAACGACCTCGCTGTATAAGAGAAACAAAAAGCAGCAGCATAGTTACAAATACGCCCAGCTCCTGTACGGTATACTATTATCAGGGCCACTAACCTATTTTCTCCCAACAAAAAAGTTAATACTAAAACAAATAAATCGAAAAAAAAAAAATTTTGATTTATTTTTTTCAGTATTAATTTTTGAAAAAAAGTATTAAGTTTGAAAAAACATTTAAATGCCTTTTCAAAGCTTTTTTGCAAAAAATCTTTCTTTCTAAAATGTTATAAACCCCAACTATAAAGAAAAACAAAATATTAGAGAAAAAAATAAGGGTATGACCCCCTTTGCCCAGGAAACAAGTTTAACATGCATGTTCATCGAGACTACACAAATGCTGTCAAGATAAAGTCAAATCAAAGTAAAGTCTGAAAGATAAAGTAAAATCAAAAAAAAAAAAAAAGAGATTTAAAAAAGTGGAGTTTTCCAGTTGGCTCTGAAAACAATTTTAAGATGTACTTTTATTAAATTTACACAAATGCTGGAGTTTTAGAGCTCTAGCTAGTCTGGAAGGTATTGAAAAATCAATCACAAAATTCCGGGACAACTGATAGCCGACAATCAACTTGTAAAGTCAAACTAACGTTTAAAAAATAATTACAAGTTCATTCGAAAGCACTATTTTAATTGATATAAGATTTTGTTGGCGGGCTGGACACCAACGCAACAAAAAAGAGACTATTAGGGTGCTCACAACCTATAGTAGAAGATTGAACAGTTTTCCTTACCGTCTTTTTTCAAATAGATTATATATGATAAAACGCAATAAAAAGATATATCTGATAAACACTCTTTTAATCATATAAATTACATCAGATAGTTTAAATAACTTATAACTTTTTGAAAACTGTTTTAGCAGTCAATGTCCTTTCGAATACCAAAAATGTTATATTGCGTCATATTACTTGATTGAAAAGCCAAATACAGAGAAAAAAACTGGAGAAAAAGCGCGCTTTTATGAACAGTGACTTAGTCAAGGTTTACACAAACATGAATTACCCATAGCTTAGAAATTATGCCCCCTTCCCCCTTCCTCCTCCGACAAAATTCCATTATGGCTACTAACCTATTTCTGCTCAACAATAAAAAAATCAATCGTAATTTAGCAGCCCTTATTAACACTCATGCGACAGGGAGCCCGTCTCTTCACTACTAGTATACCCGCATGTTGACTATACTTGTCCCTAATTATAATAGAGCTACTTTTTATGTTATACGTGAGAAAAAATCCTTCCCGATGCCCTACCACAAACACTGCCCACATACTTCAGAGTATTACCTGAAGTATTACCCAGAAGTGCCCTCAAACAGGCAATGGATTTGAATACGCTACCTCAAAATTTCTGTTAAATCAACATGAAATGACTGTTACTTGAGAAAGTAAATAATATAACTTATATTTTACTTACTTACAAAGTAAAGTATAAAATTTCAAAGAAAACATTTACTTTTATTTGTAATTATAAATAACAATCTTTTATTTGTAATTATAAATAAAATTTACTTTTATGTAAGCTGTTTTTGCTAATTAGTTACTTTTATACGTAAAAGTTATTTGTTGTTATGATGTAGTTTTATTTCACTTTATAAAGTAAGTGTTATGTTTTTTAAATATTATATTTACGTAAGTTTACTTCATAAATAACTTTTTTTAAATATAAAAAGTAAATTACATTTCGATGTAAATTTTTTACATAATTATAACCAAAATTACTTTTTAAAGTAATTTACTTTACACGACTTACCATTAAAATTTAAATTTACAAGTAAAGGTAAAAATGTAAATAACTTTTAGCTGTAAAAGTAAGTTATTTTTTCAAGTAACAGTTTAAAAAACTAAACTTAAGTAATTAAGTCTTACATGTTATATAATTTAAGTAAAAAAAACAAATTACTTTTAAATGTAAGTAAATTATATATTTTTATATGAGTTATGTAAAGTAATTCGTGTTTTTACATCAAAATAAGTAAAAAAATCCATCTCTAATGGGCAAGGACTTCCTTCAAAGTAGGACAAGTCAGGAAGCTAGAAGCTGATTTCTTAGCTATAGTGAAACAGGCTCGTCAATTAGCGGTGATTAAATGCCAATAAAATGAAGGCAAATAAACATGGAAAAACTTTAGAGCTTTTTGTAAAGTGCATAGAACATAACATAGTCCTATAACTCCAAAAACTGTCGATATTTTGGACTCGCTCAATGAGAAACAGCTATTCAATGAAACTTGGTACCTACGTCTGACGCTAGCGCCTGAAATCAAACAACAAATAAAACTTGGTTCAGGAAAATTCAAAATAGTGAACTTTACAATTAACGAACTAATATATTCCATTAATAACGCAAAAAAAAAGGAAATAAACTCTCAAACAACATTGGTTCAATACTCGCTTTTATAACCTAAGTTGTTATGCTAGCTTTCGCCTCAGAAAACACTACATAACTTATCATTTACCATACCATTACCGTTTAAGAAAGAAACCGTACGTTTAAGAAAGAAACCGTACGTTTAAGAAAGAAACCGTACGTTTAATAAAATAATCTGATTAACAATCTAAACGTTGAGCAATCTGTAAGCATCTAATAATTTAATTTTAACAATCTTCAAATATAACTTGTGTTTCTCTTTGAATAAATATAACTTGTGTTTCTCTTTGAATAAATTTAAAAAATTTTGCTATCAAGAAACAAAAGTTAAAAAAAAAAGCGTTAACGTGTTTCATAGTAGATTAAAGATATTTTTCTCAAAATAAATTTGTTAGTGTATTAAAATAAAAAAGACGCTAGAGCAGGTGGTTTTTCAAAAAAATTCTAATCAATTCTAATCAACTTGGAATTATCTTTTTTTTTTTTAAAAAATAAAATAAAATAAACCATAGTCTTTAAGTCTAAGGTATTACATCAGTTTATGAGTTGCCATCTTCTTTTATGATGTTGAGTACAGATTCAGCTGCATAAAAGAAAATTTGGATTTGGCCGAATCAAATTCAAGAGGTCCTGTTTTGATCAAGAGCATCATGTTTTGATAGGCTCTGAAGCCAAGTACAAAAACTTAGGTTGTTCAAGAGAATCAATTCTCATAGTTTTTTTAACAATTTTTATTAGGTATCATGATCTGTTTCTGTTTTTTAGTCTCATATTAGGTGTGTATTCACTCTTTAAGTTAGATTCTGAACTTGATTTACAACTTGAAATTTAAAAGAAAAAGCCTAATGGGTTTTTAGTTACTCCATCGTAGCCTTGGAAACCAAAACTCACAATTAATGCAGGTACACTGCAGCACAATGCAGCAAACTTTTTTTTTTTTCTGATTTAACAATTAACCTTTTTTTTTAACTATTTTTTACGTCATAATATTCTTGTTTGTACAATTTTTTTTAAATTAAAACTAAACATTCTTCATTAGAAACTGTTTGATAACGTCATTCCAGATTGGGAATTCAACTGTCATACTATCTAAATGCATTTCTTTAAATCAAAAGTCTTTTTACGACTACTTTTTTTGATTGTAATAATTTGTTTTTGAATTTTTACGTTTCTTCTTTTTAAAAGAATTTCCTTTGTATTGAGGCTTTTATTTTTTAAGAATTAATTTAAGTTCTTAAATTATAACCAACAAAATAAAGAGCTGCAAAATTAATATTAATACATAAAAGAATACAGATATAAAAAGTATAAATAATTCATGACTTACAAGTGTTATGCATAAAACAGCAGTTCAGTATTGAAAATAATTCAAGAAAAAAACATTCAAAAAATATCACCATTAAAGAAAAAAAAAAGAAAAAAAAAAAAAAAGAACTTGAACGATGAATTCATTCATTTTTGATATTCATTCATTTTTGACATAAAATTTAAATTGTTTTTCGAATACTGGTGATTTCGCAAATCATCAACTATGCTAAATTATTATTAATTTAGCACGTTACAATTCTTAATTACCTTTTACTTAAAGGTGTGGTCCTGTTTCCTTAACAAATTTTTCGATCAAAAGTTGTTTTTACATCTATTCATTAAAATACATATTCTTTACAAGTTAACATTTTATGGGATTCTATTATGGGTTGTGTTATTTTGCGCCAGAGCCAAAGTTTTTAGAGTGTGATTGATTAAGCTTGATTTTTCGTCTAAATATTTTGAGATTTTTTTTTTAATACAAACAATTTTAAGAAGATATCTCATAACCTGGGTTGTCAGGTATAATATAGTTTGACTTGTTTTTGTAAATACATGCAAAATGCAAGTTTGATAAAGATAATTTTGGCTTATTAGATTTAAACTTTCAATAACTTTGTATTTCTATTTATTTTGTGAAAATAAAAAAGAAATGTTTCAAATTTAAAACTTTTTAAGATTGTGTGTTTAAATATAAAGATTTTGGTAAATGGTTGGTGATTTAGCTTGGTAATTTTTTTTTTTTTTTTTTTTTTAACGTTTTGATTAAGCTCTATATTAATAAACTTTAACATTGAAATTTAAATAAAAGTTTTATTTTATATAAAAATAATATAGAAATTTTTATTTAGTTTTATTTAGTACAACAATATATTGCAATTCTAAAGTATTTTGTTAATATATTTTTGTTAAAATTCCAATCACTTTTCTTTATTCTTTGGAAGAAAAATCTCCTTCTCCGATGGAGAGCTTCAAAGAGCAAATTAATTTCGTTTAGATATCAGCGTCGTAAGCAAAAAAAGCTTGAATGCCGCTATCGTGTTATGCAAATGCTGTTTTATGAAATTCAACGCGCACAATTGAGTATTTTTGAAAATAAATCAGTGTTCGATAAAAATATTCTGAAGAACACTCCGGTTGCTTTTTCTAACCACATTCATCAAACCAAACATTTAGGCGTCTGTGTAACATTTTTCCGGCACACTAGTAAATCTTTTAAATGAAGCTTGGCAAAATGATTGCTCCTTCTAAAGTTTAAAAATGTAAAAACTTATAATTTCCTTTAAAATTCTGTAGTAACATATTTTTTACATTTATTTTTCTTATATATTTTTTTTTATTACATTCTTGAATACGTTTTAAAATATTTTCAAGAAAAAATGTCTTCGATTTACATATACTTTTTATCAAAAAAAATTTCTTTCTGATTTATGATCAGTTTTTTATATACAAAATGTATTTAAGTTTTATTATAAAAAAAAAAAGGGTATTACATTGAATATTATTGATGATTATAATTCTTTTTATAAAAATATAATTATTACTTTAGATCCTAATCCTTTGGAAACTATGGTAATTCTGCAAGCACGGAACAACTATGATGTAAATGTCTTAAACGCTATTCCTGTACACGAAGGAACCGAACACGAATTTTCTGTTGTAGGTTATCGTCGAAATATCATTTTGACTGCAACTTTTGCACTTTTTGGCGTTTTTACTGGTGGTTTTTTATATTTGTTAGGGTATTGGTATCCAATTCGACGCCTCAAATTTACCCATGACAAGTGTACTTTAAAGGACGCATCGTCTGTAGTTATAACAACTTTAATTGGAAAATGTGACTATGTATCAAAAATAAAAACGTTAAAGTCGAAGCGTTCAGATCGACATGACAACAATCTATCTGCATTTGAAAAACATATTCTCTCTAATTCTGAGCTGCGTTATTTTGAGCACATGTTTTTAAGGTATTATATTAGTGACGAATCAGATAAACTAATTTCAATATGGGGAGCAGACAACTGTTTAACATTTTCAGATTTGCGGTCGGCAAACGGGTTGAGTAATGAGACGGCAAAACTAAAGTTAGTAATTTACAACGAGAACTACATTAACATACCATCGAAACCTTATTGGCTTGTATTTTTTCAATTATCCTTAGATCCGTTTTACATATTTCAATTGTTTAGTGTTATCCTATGGATTACTGATGATTATGTATTATATGCTTGTCTAATTATTGCAATGACCTTATTATCACTTTTTTTCAACACTTATCAGACTAAGAAAACTCTGCAGCGTTTGCGCGATATGATTGCCAAAGAAACAGAAATACAAATATTTCAAAATACTAATTCTGAAATAAAAAATAATAAAATTATAACAAAATCTTCTCGCCTTGTAGTTCCTGGAGATATTCTGATTATACCTGTAAATGGACTTGAACTTCCCTGTGATGTGGTTTTATTGAATGGCAGTTGTGTTGTAAATGAAAGTTCATTAACAGGTGAGAGTATACCAACTGTAAAAACAGCTATAGATGAGTCGATACCATCTAATGAATGTTACAATTCTAATTTTCATAAACAACACACCATGTTTAATGGGACTAAAGTAATACAAGCTAAAAATGATGGAGAAAATGAGTTCATTTTAGCTTTAGTAGTTCGTACGGGTTTTTATACACTAAAAGGAAGTTTAATCCGGTCTATTATATTCCCAAAACCTATTCACTTCACATTTTTTCGAGATTCAATGAGGTTCATATTTTGCATGGCTTTAATAGCAATTGCTGGTTTTATTTACACAGTTGTTGTATTTATAAAATATAATGCCAGTTCCATGCTTATTCTTAAAAAAGCATTGGATTTATTTACAATTATTATACCTCCTGCTCTTCCTGCTACAATGTCTGTTGGCTTACTTTATGCTCTTCGAAGACTTCGTAAGCAAGATATATTTTGTATTGATCCTAATAGAGTAAATGTTTGTGGAAAAATTAAACTTGTTGTATTTGATAAAACTGGAACTTTAACTGAAGACCATTTGACAGTTTCTGGTGTTTTGCCAGTGGTAGATGGAAATATTGGGAGTTTACTAAATGATCCTTGTGACTTGGATGGATCAGTTATTTTAAAAGGTTGCTGTCTTTATTATTATTTTTTATTATAACTTGTATTTTTACTCTTAGTTCTTGGGTTACTACCATTAGTTCAACAAATTTGTTCTCAGGTTGGGCTGATTTTGTTCTACAAGTTGTTTGGTAAATTTTTTCCTACAAAATCTAATTTTGTTATTGAAACAGATAAAGTTGATGAAACTGTAAATAAAAATGTATGCTGTATTTTTTGAATAAAGAATTTGTTAAATATTTATGTAAACTGTAATAATGATCTCTGACAATCCAATAAAAAAATGTTTTAAATGAAATAAGGTTTTTGTTTGATAAAATTTATAGAATAACATAGAAATTACCTTTTCATTTTAAAATTTTATTAAGGTTCTGCTTTTATATTTCAGCCATGGCAACATGTCATAGTCTTTCGATCATAGATAATAAAACATCTGGAGATCCTATTGATATGTACATGTTTAACTTTGTTGGTTGGTCATTAAAAGAAGATAATTTTGAGGATTTGTCTGAAGATTCTGTAATACCATCAAAACTCATCCCACATATAAAAACCATAGTTACACCATCTACAATATTGTCAAATAATGTTTCTTATTCTAAAAATTCAAAATGTCTTGCTGTTTTAAAACAGTTTACATTTGATTCAGGGTTGCAAAGGATGAGTGTTATTGTTAAAGATTTTCAAGAAAATTTTTTAACTGCCTTTTCTAAAGGATCTCCTGAAAAAATACTAGCTATGTGCAATGAATGCAGTATTCCTCCCGATATAAATGATGAGTTAAAAAAGTATACACAAGTTGGTCATCGAGTATTAGCTGTGGCTTTTAAAAAACTACCATTAGCTTTTGAATGGGATGATATTAAAAAAATACAGCGTCACGAAGTTGAATGTAACCTGAATTTTGCAGGAATCATAATATTTGAAAATGTTGTTAAAGTAGGAACATATGAAACAATAAATACACTTTCTTGTGCTAATATCAGATCAATCATGGCCACTGGAGATAATCTTTTAACAGCATCTTTTATTGCTAGAGAGCTTCACATGGTTTTACCACACCAGAAAATTATAGAGTTGTCTATAGTTGATGGGGTAGAGGTTTATAAAGAACACCTTATTAAAAAATCTGAAAGAGTTGAAGAAATTAATTCTGAGAACACTAAGTTAATGATAAATGATTCATATAACATTTGGTCTGGACAAAACAAGCTTAATTATGTTTTAGCAGTGACAGGTTCATCTTATGAAGTTATACATCAAGAACATTCTTATTTGCTACCAAAAGTACTAGTTACTGGGGTGGTGTTTGCTAGAATGTCTCCTGAGCAGAAAACAATGTTGATTGATGATCTCAAAGATATTGGTTATGGTGTTTGTATGTGTGGAGATGGTGCAAATGATTGTGGAGCATTAAAAGCAGCTCATGCTGGTATGTCTTTTTGTTTTATTAATTTATGAAATTTTAAAGTATAATTTAAATAATATTAAATATTATACTCTAATGATTTGTTTTTTAAGTTAAAAATGGTTATTTTTTAAAAGGTTGATTTTGTATAGTTTGTAAAATAAACATTTTATATCTCAGGAATAGCTTTATCGTGCGCAGAAGCTTCGATTGCAGCACCATTTACCTCCAAAATGTTTAACATATCATGTGTTCCTTCACTTATAATGGAGGGTCGTGCAGCACTTGCAACAGCCTTTGGTACTTTCAAATACATGGCACTTTACAGTTTTATTCAGTTTTTTGGAATGTTAATTTTATACTCTGTTAAGTCTAATTACTCGAACAATCAGTTTTTGTTTGTTGACATTGTATTAAATTTGCCACTTGTGTTCGCAATGACTCAGTCTAATGCCAATACTAAATTAGCCATCAAACGACCTCTAGGGCGGTTAGTTCATCCAATATTTATAGGCTGCATTGTTGCCCAGTTAATTCTTTTAATATTAGTACTGCTTAGCGCTTTTTTTTCTGTCCGTGCTATGAATTGGTATCGCCCACCATCAAATTTTTCAAATAGTGGCGAAATAGAGTTTTTTTCTTTTGAAAACACTGCAGTAATAGTTGTTTCGCTTTATGAGTATGTATGGTTGTCGCTGGCATGCTTTAAAGGTCCACCTTACAGAGCTCCCATATACTATAATTACATATACGGACTTGCATTTTTTCTCGCTATAGGACTAATCCTGTATGTAACAATTAATCCAATTAAGTTAATTAAAAATTGGCTTACTTTAGTAGATCTTCCTGGCTATGAGTTTGTAATTGGCTTGCTTGGTATTGCTTTTGGGAGTTTAATTTTAGTCCTTTTAATGGAAAGAATTTTTGATTCAAAAAGTATTAAGTTGCTAAGTGATAAACTTCGTAGGAAAAAAGAGCCGAGGAATCAGTACAAGCATGTACTCAAAGAGTTACACGAAAATTCCGACTGGCCTCCTTTGATTTAATAAAAATTTTCAAATGCGTCATTTCTTGCATCAAGGTTTACATTATTAAATATTTAGTATAATGACCTTTAGAAAAAATTGTAATTTTTAAATTGACAGGCTGTAACAAATTTTAGATAAGTATTTACAATGCTCTTGACATGATCCAACTCATTATATTTTGCTATGGTTTAGATGTTTAAAAAATGTATTTTTTTAAATTTTCTAATATTTAATTTTGTATTTTCTTGTAGGAGAATAAAGTTTTTGTTTAAAAGATGTCGACAGAAATAATCTATAAATTTTCTTTAAAAAAGCTCATACGCTGGATCCTTTAGAGGATATACTTGTAAATTTGTATTTTTTTTTTTTAAATTCTCGTTAAGATTTCAATATATACTTTTCTATATTTATATATAACATCTATTTTTTTTATAGATTTTTAAATTCAATAATTTATTATTTTCCATTTTAGAGTTTATTTTGTTTAGCTTTCATTTTTCTTAAAATAAAATGTTTTTGTATAATTAAAACAAAAATTCAAGTTTGTAAATTCAGCAGATTTGATTAGAGTCCGATAATCAACATAAGATTTATTTTTGAGATGTCTCGAGTTTTATGGAAAATGTCCAAGATCACAACTTTCAGAGATGCTTTTATTTCATGATAAATGTCCAAAGATAATAAATTTCAAAGTTTTCGTTTGCAAAAAAATTAAGTTTTATATTAATTTTCTTGAACTTTAACTTTTAGTTTACTTTCTTGTTAAATGTTTTTCTACGGAAAAGTATTTTACATGCAACAATTACCAGCAAAATGGGTACGCATCCAATAAAGAACGCACCTAATGCATTTTTTGTATGTGAAAGTATGTAAAATTGTATGTAAAAATTAAATCCCTGAATATTTTTAAAAATTTATTTTGATACTAGGCTTGTTAAAGATTAAAATTAAAATTTTAAATCTGCATTAGACTCTATGGCTTGTCTTGTCATCAATTCTTAAGGGACAAATCATTAAAAGTTTTGTTTTATCAAAACATTATAGAACCGTTATGGCAACAAAAAAAGTAAAAAAAAACTCATAAAAATCAAAAAAGCATTAGATTATCTTTTAAAAATTTACAACAATCTAAAAGTATAATATTATAATTATAAACAATTTAGCTCTATTTACTCTAATATATTGCATATTTATGTGGGTTTGAAAAATATGCACGGCGTTAATTTTTGTTCAAAAATCTCCCTTTTGATTGCCAGTTAGCGCGTGTTTTCACACATACAGTCATTGAGTGAAAACCATATGAAAATAATATTTAAATTTTAATCGACCAATCAATATCGAAAATTTTTGCGAGTGGTTTCTATAGGTAAACTTGAATTTTATTTATAAGAAAACAAAGAGTATGCTTATGCACCTCATCCTACCGTTGTTTTAATTATATATTGAGACTAACTTTCACATTGATAACATAATATCAAATTAACATTTGCAGAAAAAATATTACAAAAAACTGGACGCTACAATTATAATTGTACTTCTGAATAAAAATTAGTTATTAAAAACTAAAAATTTATATATGTAAAATAATTTTTCAAACTTAAAACTCTCTAAAAATTATTTTAAAAAATTATAAAATATAAGTAATCTAATTAGTAAATAAAATAAAGGGAAAATTCTTCCTGCTATGAAAATTATTTTAAATTGGTTTGTAGCTGAAGGTTCTTTTGATTTGATTAAAAAGCCATAAAACTGAGCAGCCTATGCAAGTCATTACATCAGTGATACCTATTTTGAAATTCACAATACTTGAAGTAATCTTTTTGTGACATACAAATCTGGAGTTTTTGGGACTCTGCATCCCTGCTTGGATCATGGTTTTACTTAAATAACCTTAAGACAAACATCAAGGTTTTTAATAATCTGATACCTTGTACCAGATTACTATAACCTCATACAAAGTATATCTGATGCCTTGTATCAGATGTTTATCAACTTTAAAAAACAAACTACAAATTGTTTTTTATTTTTAAACATGCAACATGTAAATGGATATTAATGAATACAAATGAGAGAAACACAGTTTTTTAATATATACGCCAACATTTGTATGAAAAATTATTAATATAAAACATTTAAATCTATTAAATTAGAAAATTTGTGAACACTTCATTTTATTACTTATATTATGCAACATATTCAAATAGTCGTTTGAATACACTAACTGTAATTCCGAAATTTTTGTAGCTGTTTTATTCACAACAGTTTTATTATCGAAAAACCTCCAGTCTTTACATAACTGGAGGTCTTCCATTATTAAAACTGTTGTAATCAATAATAAACTTCAATAATAAAAATGGTTATTAATTTAATAACAACTTAATAATAAGTAAATAATATGTAACCAAGTAAAAAATTTATCCTTCATAAAAATATTTACTAAAGTTAAATCAAATCAAATCAAATCAAATATATTCTGAATAAAGTTGTTACATCAAGGATATTTACAAATAGTAATTTGTACTAATATAAAGTAAACACCTGTCAAAATAAATAAAAATAAGATGGAGATAGTAATAATAATAATTATAATACAAGTAGGAATAATAAAAGTAATAGTAGTGATTATAGTGATAAAAAAAATAATAGTAGCTATTATAAAAAGAATATACTATAATAATAATAATAATAATAATAATAATAATAATAATAATAATAATAATAATAATAGCAATAATAATAGCAATAATAACAACAAAAATTATAACAACAACAATAATAACAATTACAATAATATTCATTATGATATAAATTATGATATAAAATATCGTAATAATAACAACAACAGTGATAAGGAATACTATAGAAACATATCAGTTTATAATAATAAATTTAATAATTGGTATTAAAATTAGTAATATATCACGATAGAAATGAGAAAAATTAAAAGATGAATAGAAGCACTGCGTTATAAATAATAAGTTGTAAAAAGGTATAAGATTTATAAAGATTATTTTTCTAAAAAATGGTTAAAAAGAGCAGTTTTAAATTTTGAGAATGATTTAAAAGATTTTAATTGGGAAGGGAGATTGTTCCAGGTTTGTATGCTTTTATGTTGTATGGATTCATAGCCGTAATGAGCAGTTCGGTATTTAGGTACAGATAATTTAAAGTTGAGAGCAGACCGTAGAATATATTTACAGTTTTCCCTATAACTAAAAAAGTTGATAAATGTAAGAGGTAAGTTATTATGATTTTGGTTCCAAACAAATAGACAATTTGATAGCTGAATAAGGTCACACAATTTAAGGACTTTAGATAAAAAATAGAGTATGCTACAGTTTGAATTAGTATGTTGAAAGTAAATTAATTTTAGAGCTTTGTTTTGGAGATAAGTTAGTCTTAAAAAAGCAAGCTGCTTAGATTGTCCCCAAACTTGGCAAGCATATCTGAGATGAGAGTGAAAAATAGCATGATATAAATTAAGCAAAGTTTCATGGTTAACAAAATGACGAATTTTAGCTAAAATACCATTTGATCTGCTTAATTTCAATGCTAAGTCTTGAAGATAGGATGCAAAAGATAAATTAGAGTCTATTTTGATTCCAAGATATTTAATAGAGTTAACTGGATTTATTTTTTGGCCACTTAATCTGAAATTTAATTGCTTATTTATTTTTGTTTTAGCAGATTTAAATATAATAATTTCCGTTTTTTTAGAGTTAAGAGATAATTTATTGGAGCGGAGCCATTGAACAACATTAGCTAGATCGTGATTCATATTTTTGTTAAGTTTTTTAAGTGATTTATTAATTAGGAGTAAGTTGGTGTCATCCGCGAAGTGATAAGCAGTAGAAAATTTAAGAGAAACATTTAAATCATTGATAAAAATAAGAAAAAGTAATGAACCTAAAACCGAACCTTGCGGAACACCATTAAAAGATTTAGCTAGTCCTGAGTTGATACCATTAATTGAAACAAATTGTGTTCTATTACAAAGATAAGAGGAAAACCAGAAAAAAGGAATACCACTTATACCGTAGTGTTTCAATTTTTCTAAGAGGATTGTGTGCTCAACTGTATCAAATGCTTAATGTTACGATACAACTATGCAAAAAAAATTAAAGTAAAATCCAGACAATTTTAAAATTTAATGAACATAACTTTGAAATTCATGAATATGAAATAAAACAGAAAACAAAACAAAAATATAAAAGTAAAAATAATAATTAATATTAACAATAATGAAGATCTAATAATACAAAGATAAAACCTGGAACTTCAAAAACATTTAAGAATATATATATATTTTTCACAAAGTCTGCTTACCTCAGCCAAATAAAACAAAAAGTAATATTTAGTGTGTTTAAGTATCCTAATAACACAATAATGTAGAATAAACATAAACTTACTTCATAAAATGATCTGATTGCATTTCTCGGTTAAATACGATTAATACTGATGTGTAACCAGTCACACGTTGCAAGTTAAGATATTTATAAACATTTTTTCATACTGTTTTATATATATTAGGGTAGGTCGATTTTGTTTCCTCATATTGCGCAATATTGCAGTAGTTGGAGACTTGTTAAAATATGATTACTCTCAAATTTTGAGAGATTTTGGATAAAAAATTGCTTGCGGATTTAATTTTTAAGATTTGTAGGATTATGCGAAAAAACACTAGGAAACAACCTAGGATTATGCGAAAAAACACCTTAAAAAGCGTTTTATACAAAAATTTACGTTTTAGATATGTTAATATTTAAATGTTTTTTAATATAATTTGGATTACTCAATGATTTAAGTTTATAATAATTTATAACAACTAAGCTAAATCTATAACAACTTGTTAACTATTTGAAGATTTAAATAGTGAAACTTTTATTCTTATATTTACATAAGAATTTCAAAATAAACATTATTTTCACAATTTAAAACATTTTGAACATGGATATATATTTTTAGGAAAATACTTTACTCATACCAATGATTAGCATTTTTAAAATAATACTCATACCAATGATTAGCATTAAAATCAATTTCCGGAATTTTTTTTAAGTTTACTTCCAAACTTTCGTTGTTTACTCTATAAATATAAATCAAAGCCAATTACCACATTTAATCTATTATTTTTTTCAAAATTTAATTTTAGTTAAATATAAAAAAAAACCTTTGCCTTAGAGCCAGTAGGATTTGAAAACCAAAGTTCCGTATCTTGCTGTCATTCTTTTTAGCAAGACATAAAGAGTATTTTCAGGTTTTAGGCACAATGCATTGTTTTAATGCTTTTTTTTAAACAATATGTTTAACATAATCAAAGGGGAAATTATTAATTTTAGTAATATTAGAAAAAATAAGGCGCGGAGATTCGTGAAATTTTGAAGATTTTTTTATTTCGAACCACGCTGGAGCGTAAACCTGAGCGTAAACATACGAGTTTTTTTTTAAAAAAAAAAGGTTGGTTGATTGTCTCTAGTATACAAACAGAGAAAACAAATAGCTAGAGTTTAACACCTTGCATGGTTAAGCGGTCCAATTTTATAGGCGGCCGAAACTTTACAAAGCCTATTCCTTTGCAATATTCAAATAAAAGTCTTTGATCGCAACTAAGGTTTAATAGTATTTCTTGTGGAATATATCCACCCACAATTGGGTTTTCAATACGTTCAAACAAAACTTGATTTCAATCCTGAATATTTTCAGCACATCTTTTGCCAAGTAGACCACTGAAGCTTTTTGGCCCAGTTGTGTCACCATCAAGTTTTACAAAAAAAGCTGTAACGTAAGTTCATTTTGATGTAAGGCGCATCCAATTTGATGTAGTTTTCTTTTTTAAAACTTTTCTAGTTTTACCACTAAGCCACTTATTGGTCCAGTATTGGTAGTAGTATTATCAAGAAGAACAGCTTGTATACTTTTCCAAACTGTTATGTTTGTGTAAAACACTGAACGATACGCTAGCAAGAACTAAGCCTGTAGCACGAGTGACAGGAATTGTCCTATGAGTCAAATAATTTCCACTCGATTTTCTATCTTTATAAGTAAATGTGAGATGATTTTAAGGTTCAATTCTATTGTACTTCTCCTTGAGGGGAGTTTTTTACTTTACTTGTTTTAGTTATCTGATCGAGCTTGCTATCAACTCCAAGACAAATAAACTGTTTGTTTTTTTGTTCTGAGTCCACCTCTTCACTAACGATTTTTACTTTTGACTTGGCCCTATCTAATTTGCATTTGTCAATTAAAATATCTTTTATATCAACATCATTTTTCAGAAGATGTTTTATGTCATGTAGTAAAGCATTTACAAGGGCTGCACCTACGTTTGACGAACACTCTTTTCTGACTAGTTCCATTGTAAATCTTGGAAGTTTAACCAAGTTGTATTTTTCAATAGGATTATTTATGGGTTTCCATTCACCTTTATCCTAAAAACAGTTAATAAAATAAAATGTTTTTTATTTCATCTACAACAAATATTTCATGTATTTATAAAATATCTACCTCCGTATTGGTCAAACCACTTGTTTCTTCAATTAAGTTTACGTGTGCTATGAGGGATTCATCTTCATCAACTAGCTTATGTGATATTTTTTCGTCGTTCTTTATCAAATCTTTGAATCCTTTTGAGAGATAATCTATCAACGGAAGAAAGTTGATAGATTATCTCTCAAAAGGAGAGATGCTGTATCCCAATCTATATAATAGCAAATAAAAAACTTGATGCAAAAAAGATGAAAGTGTCTGCAAACAAATATCGCATTACATATTTATATAATCAAACAGGGTTTAATTAAAAAAAAGAAAAGAAATCACAATGTGTTAAAAAACAAAGATAGTTACAGAATTCTAGATTTTGTCATTTATCTGGGTATCATTTATCTAGCAAGCTTTTCTGCAATCTAAACTAAATAAATTTGAAACCTAATAGGATGAAGATATAACCTTTGCTTTCTTTTATTCTTTACTAAATTATTTATTAGTAATCTTGTTCCTGTGTTTGGCGTTGAGTCACCTTGCATATACATCGTTTATTGTAAAGCAAACACTTAAATATACTTTTAATTGGTTAGAGTAAACTAAATTAGGTAACCTAATACTTGAACTAGCTAAAACAACATTTTGATAATACTTGAACTAGCTAAAACAGACTTTGATAATGGGAATTCATTCACATTACTAAAGTCTGCACCATAACGTTTTGAAACAATATCATTGGATAGTTTTTTAAAAGTTGAATAAAAACTTTACATTATGACAATGATATATATTAAAACTAGATGTCTAACTTGGGAAATTTTATTGGACAAAAAGTGAAGCCGCTTTTTTTGGTAACAAATTTAATCCGTCATTTGTAAAAAAGGCAAAATATTGTATAGTTTATGCTGTGGAAGCCATTTTTAAATTTTACAAGGGCAAAAGTGGCTTCACTTTTAGGATTAAAGTTAGACTAACTACTAAGATATTTAAATAAAATTTTTAAAGGATCTCTTTTGTTATACATATTCAAATATTTCAGTAACATTAGTGTTTAAACAGATGAAAAAAAACTTCTGTATTTTCAACATTATGTCATTAATTATGCGCATAATTAACTGAAAAACACCTTGCTTTTCAACAAGTAACTTATTGCTAAATTTTTCAAAGTCAAACTTTTCAAAAAAATTGTTTGGTATATGAACTGTGTGCCGAGTAAAAAAAAAAACAAAAAAAAAAACAAGATATTTTAATACGTTGGAAATTACAATATAGTATGACACCTCAAATAAGTGACGAAATTGTCAATTTTTTTAAATTTTAATTTAAATGGGACACAGTCAAAAAATTTTTGACTCATCTAATTTTTATCTCTGCCAAAAATTTAAAAAAAAAATTAAACCAAACTGAAAATATCTTTGTTAGGTGGATTTTTTAAACGGAGAAAAACACCAAAACAAATAAAATAACAAAGGTTGAAACTAAAAATGAAATTATTGAAAATAAATTTAAATAATTCGGGTCTTGATTTTACAAAAAACGCGGAACCTGAATTTGCCCACTGGAAAAAAATATCGACTTTAAAAAAATTGACTTGCTATTTAGGAAATAAAATTAAAACATGTTAAAAACCTTAATTCCGTTGTTGTTTTTATAAAGGTTAAACCTTCTAAAGATAAGAAGAAAAAAATTTCAATTTTTGTGAATTTTTCATATTTTTAATAGTACTAATAATATTTATATTAAATGTTTTTTTAATATAGTTGACTCGTCTATTTATATAGTTTATTTAAAAAAAAAAAAAAAAGGTTAATATATGCTTCGATTCATTTAATTTTTAGTGAATTATTTTGGTAATTAACCATTCAGCAATATGTTACGGTTATATGTTTTATTTTTTATTGTCATCACGAAATCTCGGGTAATCACGAAATCTCGGGTAATTTTTAAGAGACTAATCTTAGGATTTCCGGATCACCAATTTTTACGGAATCGCAAAATATTGCCATCCCTTACATCAACACAGATTACGATATTTATTGTTATCTTAAACATATTTTTAAATATATATTTGCATGTTAGCTAAAAGTCATATTTAGTCTTTTAACATGTTTTTTTCTATAAATGCCGTATTAAAATATTAAATATAATTCTTAAAAAAAAAAAAAAAAAAAAAAAGTTAAAAGTACTTATAAAGAATAAAAGATCAAAAGCGTAAAATTCAAAAAATTTAAAATAGTTTTTTTTCCCCTTTAAAAAAAAAAACAAAAAACTTAAGTTTGTTATCAAAGGAAAAAAATGACAAAAAAAAAAATACATATAAAAATATTCATCTAAATTCCTTTTTTGGATCTAAATTTTTTGAAAATCCTTACAGACTATTAAACAGTGAAAGCGCCATCTTATGTACACTCAATGCAAAACCCAATAAAAAATAATTTCAAAATTTACGTCCATTCTGGCGTAGTTTCTCTTATAATTCTATCAACCGATTTTTCTTTCAGTGCCATTTTTAAAAGTTTATCAAAGTCATCTTCAGGAGATTCACAGCGTAAACTTACGTCACGCCGCACCTTTTCTTCTAAATAACTGTTGTTCCCGTCTACATTATATTTTTTTAAACATTTTAACATACAATTTAATATATGTTAAAAAATAAATTAACATACCGCATGCGACCGCAAGTTTCGTAAAATTATTTTGATCAAAATTAATGCAGAATGAAAACTTAAAGTTAAAAAAAATTTTTCATTTATTAAAAGTTGATCAGAAAGACATCTATTACATTTTTATTCAATATTCTGCTTTTTTGTCAAACAGTTCTACTGTTTGACACAGAAGCTACAGTAAACAATTTCAACTCTGAGAATAGGATCGTCGTTGGCCTCTTCTTCAAAAGGTTCAGAAGTTTCTTTGATCTTTCAAATATATTTCATTTGACACTTGGGGTAACCAGGTGTTTTTTTAATTCTGGCTCTTGACTTTGCCTTAAGATCTTTTCTGATCACGCTTCTGATGGTGTGCTCTCACTTAGAGCTATTTAGTCATTTTCCTCATTCACTGGTCAAGGAGGAGTTCGAACTTACCTCTGTAAACCACTGCCAAGCTTCCCTTTAACATGACCAGTCATTTGAAAACGTTGTCACAGTGTAGACATTACTTAGAGGTTTGTTTAGCATCTTGGAGATGTCTTTGGGCGTGGTACCATTAATTGGCCATGTCAAAATTAGTTTATTTTTATTTTCAAAGTTTTATGAGAGAACAAAAAGAAACTATGTGCGTAAAAATACCAACGGAACATTTATTTTAAAATTACCAAACTTATTATGAGATTTGTGGTCGCATATGGTATTAAAAAAATATATAATTTTAATAAGAGTTAATAGGGAAAATTATTCGACTTACCAAAATCAACATAACTTCCACCAACAAACTTTCTTCTTCCACCGAAGCAAAGTTCAAGCATTGGATAACTCGCATCATCATTTCCCTCTTTAAAAAAAAATAACTTGAATATAAATAAGATATAATTTAGTGCAAAGTTAATATAATATTAAAAATTCGATCCGCATGAGATATAAAAAAAGGATATTAATTAGTAGCGTGCTCATATAATAGTATACTTTAATGTCTTTAAAAATAAACAGAGAGTGGCTCCATCGCAGGGATTTTAGATTTTTAGATTGAGAACTGGAAAAAGAACGATAACAAAAACAACTTCATTGTTCTTAAAAAACGTGATAATCACGTTACTCTTTACAAACCACACAATAACATTCACGCAGCTAAAAGGTTTCCAAACAGAATTAGTAAGTTTTAAAAAATCTGATTATTCATCTATTTACAGGATTGCATAACTTGCATATAATGGATTTAACAGTACTTTAAATTTGGTTACTTGATTAGTATAGCAACTGTAGTAACTGATTGGTGCTTGATTTTGACCTGGGCAGTATAAAGTTTGATAAAATAAGACTGGCTGATTAAGTGTATCCGTCATTATAATCAACCATTCTTATCTTAATTATTTTAACATTTGATTCTCTACACTTACATAGATTGGCCTGTCTCTAATTATTTCACTTCTTGAATACTCACAATGTTGTTGGTTCTTAAATACTTACAATGTTGGTGTGAGGGCAATTAGTGTTAATTAGTGTTGTAAAGCTGTTAGAGCAATTAGTTAATAAAATGTTTTTTTACTATCTTATACTAAATTCAAATTCATCTGCAGATTTCATCTTTTAAAGTTTCTTGTAAAGTTAATAATCTTTTAGAACTCAAAAGGTATGATCATGTAAAATTTCCCTTTATTTTAGGAAGGGTGGTAACTAAGCAGGCTTAACTATTTAGAGTATTTTTGTTTTGTAAAATATTTTTATTTGACATAAGCATGTACATATTTAAGTGCGCACAACACATTAATGTGTAATATCTAAAAAAGCAAAAAAATCCATTAGATATTCTTTCAGATATTGTGATAACTCCAGATATAGTATAATAAAATCACATGATTTGGATAGTATAATAAAATCACATGATTCAAATCTATATATGATAAAAAAGCATTAGGCCAAACTTGAAAAGACTAAATTACTCAGTTTAATAATGTTTCTATCATTCTGAACTTTAATAGACTTAACTGGTTTAGAATAACAAAACTTTGTATGTCATTACAATCACGTGACATTGCAGAAAATATACAATAGCTGCAAATAGAGAAAGTTGTAATTTTTGTGATAGTGAATTTAAAATGCTTTCAGAAACTTTCAGAAAAAGATCACCAACTTGAAAATTATACTGAATCAATTTTAGATGTGAGTACAAAATTTTTTTTTTTTTTTTAAGTTGATTAAGGTGCCCCAAGAAGTCCTTACGGGCTTATCACAGAGCACGGCGGAATAGCATTTAATAGGAAGTTCACGCCTCCTTCCCAACCGATATCGCAAAACTTGCTCAGAGGTGGGGTTTGAACCACGGCTCTTACGTTTCTGAAGCAAGTGCACTACCACTGCGCCACGGCTGCTGTGTTAAATTAAAAAAGTATAAAATTTTATTTGTGTAAATCATAAAAAACAAATTAATTTGTTTATGCTATGAGTTGCTTATACAGCAACATATTTACATAACATACACAAACATTTAGCATTTTTTACTTAAGTTAAAAATTTTGTTAATTGAATTATTAGTTTAATTAGATTTAAACCAACAAGGTTTTTCTGTTTCTGGCTCTATAAGCTTTCAATCTTTCAGCATCTGAATTAGGCATGTTATGAAACCTGTTATTATACATTCTGTTATAGTTTAAAAAACCAGTGAAATGTTATAAATAAAAAAAAAAAAAACATAATTGAATCAACAAAAACGTTAGTGCAAACTAGAAACAATGTTTATTCTAAAAAAAATTGCTTTCTAGTTAAAGTCTAATACGAAGCCAAGAAAAAACTTTAAGACTTTTTTTTGTGACCTAGTTAGAGTGCATAACCAAATCAAATCAAAACACAAAAAAAGTCATGCACAATGTTTAATTTTGCCTTCAAGTCAAACTTAGCAATGTCTTCAAGACAAACTTCACTGTGTTTTCTGCAAGATATGTATCTTAGCAAAAATATAATTTACATCTGCAACACAAGAACATCACCACAGAATAGCGATTTTAATTCAACCCACCAAAACCAAACCTTCAGAGGTATTTATCCAAGATTTTTTGTTATCATATAAGCCTCAAGTATTAAACAAAAGAGTTAGTTGAATGCGTATTGCATTAGCATTATAGGCAAACTGTTGAGCATCAGGGTTATCTGAATAGCACCTGATTTTCCTTTGAGCACTAAAATATTAATAAATTGAATTAGTAAGATCTACTTGCAAGTATGTAAGGCATATCCTCACTTGGCAGAAACTTTACAACTTCTATTATTGAATCACATAGCAAACTAAATAACTGTACTGCTGTGGCAGTGATGGTAGTAAAATATACAAGTTAAAATTTAAGAGATTTTGCAATGCCACAAACCATGAAAATAAGGGCATGAAAGGCAATCATTTTTTTCATTTTTGCAGTGTAGCAAAGTTTAGGCTGGGTCACCCTAATTAACAAACCCAATCAGCTGACTACTATTCTTCTCAAAAACCAGAGACATCTCATCAATAAGAAGCAAAACATATCTTTCAATATTTGTATAATATTTGGTCTGTCTTCTTAATTCCTGAACAATGACTTCTTGATATCCAACTTTTGGTGGAATGTAGTTTTTGTAATCTCAGAGTGTTCTCAGGCTTGGCAACGCAAGCATCTTGCTATTTCTAATTTCTTGATATGCAGAAAGTGATTTTGATGCAATGGATAAACAGTACCTTATTATCATTGAGTGATACCTAACTTCTGATAAGGAAACCCTAAATAACTTTTTTTGTTCTTTCCAAAACAAATTCATAAAGTCACATGTTGTGATTAGCATTAGAGATTATTGAAAGAAATTTACTGTCTAATTCACTGTTTATCTGAAAGAAATTCACTGTCTAATTCACTGTTTATCTGAAAGAAATTCACTGCCTAATTCACTGTTTATCTGAAAGAAAATCACTGTCTAATTCACTGTTTATCTGAAAGAAAATCACTGTCTAATTCACTGTTTATGGTCACACCTGAGTTAATAAGCTCTACTTGTATTGTTTTGATCCTAGCTTGCAATAATTTAATTTTTTCATTTTCAAATAAAATTTTGTTTGTCGATGTATATTTTTTCACATATGATTGTGTCTTCAAGTAAAATACCAATGTTTTTAATTCTATAATATGATATATGTTGAAATAAAAATTCTGTAAAATACCTTTTAAAACAAATCCCAATAATGTGGATTTAATTTAAAAGATATAAAATGGTGAATAGTACTTGATAACTTTTCACGAATTGGTACACGTTCACATAACTGATAACTTTCAAACAAAGTATTTATAAGTCATACTTCTTTTGTAAATTGTGTAAATAGTATGACATTCAGGATGCTTCCATATCATATCAAATTTAAAAATTATCTGGATTTAAGTGCTTTTTACATGCAAAAGCTTTACGAGAGTTAACTTGCTCTTTAATTTATTGGCCAATAACATATCTTTTAGTAAATGAGTTTAACCATTCAGATCACCATTTTTGATGAGCAGGATCAACAGAATTTGAATGAGGAAGTTTAAACATTCTGACATCTTTTATTTGTCTTGAAGTACAACAAATATCTCCTGCAATATTTTAAAATTAACAGACTGATTCTCTAATAAACAAAATATTTGAAAACATAATTATATAAACATTTCATAATGACCTGAGTTATATCACAAACTCTAATATTCTTATGTAGTATTACTCTATAGTGGATTCGTAATGTAGTACTATGTTGTAGTATTACTGCATAATCTCTCAACATTGAAAAACAGAATACCAAAAGGTGATATGGTGCAACTATAAAGATTTTTTATAATTTAGATATAATTGAAAATTCTATTACAAAATTAAACAATATGTAGAAAACAAAGCTTAAACACAAATGGTCAACATAATTTTTTCATAAATAGAATAATCAACAAATTGAATTATTGACCACAAGTAATAGTGAATGCAAAAAAGTTGAACATATTTAAAAACCTCTATGATAATGATACATGAAAAGTTGATAAATTCTTGAAACTACATTGCTAGACTCCAAACCTCATATTTGTAGAAAATAATAAACTTAAATTGTTTTTCCTTATGCAAAAATTTGAGAATTAAATATAATCTAAATTGAAATAATAGCCAGACTGTTAATGAGTTCATAAAACGATATTCAGTTATTTAATTTGCATAATCGTAATCAGTAAACCAATTAAATGAACTTCTAATTTATTATACTCTAATAAAACAGAAAGCTTGTTCGTTATTATACTCTAATAAAGCAGAAAGCGTTCGTTATTTACTTAAAATTTAAATTAAATATTTTAATATCTCTAAGAATTTGATCTTTAAAAAGTTTAGAATACTAACAATATTAATTTATTTTTAAGACTTTATTTAAAAAACTTTATGCCAAAATCTGAAAGTTTTTTTTTAGCATTATTTAACATTAATAAGTTTGGTGCACATTCACTATTGATTTCTATGCTAATCAATTGATTTGCACTCTATTATTGAGTTAATGGGTTACACAATAGAATTTAAGAGTTTATAAGTTAAATCTATAAACCTTGGGTGTGCAGTGTGTGTGTGTGTGTGTGTGTGTGTGCGTGCGCGTGTGTGTGTGTGTGATTATTTAGATTTTAACCTAAATACTGTAACTAACAATGCTATTCTAAAATAAAAATAGATAAATACTTCTGTACATAAATACCCTAATAAGAAAAGTCATCTCCATAATGTTCCCCAGCATTGCAGAGATGAAGATAAAATTAAATAACCAAATTTTTAATTATTTAAATAAATTATACATTATTTAGAATTGTAAATAAACTTTGGTGCTTTAAGCTTAAATACAAAAATTGCTGCATTAAAAAGTACTAACCTTCAATTGCTCTTTTGGCATCTTCTGGTTCCTCATAAACAATGAAGGCATAATTATCACTAAAAAACAATTAACATTAAAAAGTTCTAATAATAACTACCAAAAATATATTTTACCGCTTAAAAAGAACATTTACTATAGAAAATCAGGATATTGTTATCAAAATAAATTTTTTTTTGTAATTCTTTATACCCTTTAACAAAATAAATTAAACAAGGTAAAATAAAAGGCAAAAATTAAACTCACCCTTTATCTCTAAAATGCAAAGTAATTTTTTCTATTTGACCAAAACGTTGAAATCGCTCATTTAAACTAGATTTTGTGGTATCTTTTGAGATTCCACCTACATAAATATTTCTTCTTTCAAACTAAAAAAAAAATTATAAGAATTGACCAAGTAATTTTTTAAATGTTATACATACTTAAACTATTGAAACTTGATGGCTATTATTATTTTAATCACCAATTGAAAATATTCCTTCGACAGCAAAGAAATAAAACTTATATTAAAAACACTGAGTGTGGATAATATATTTATATAACATAATACCTCTGCATTTTTCAAGTAATGTGTGTTACAAATTATATACATTATTGTATATTAACAAATTATATATATATATATATATATATATATATATATATATATATATATATATATATATATATATATATATATATATACATACTTTTTTTTCAAACATGATCGCTTCCAACAAGGCTGCAAGCAACCATTAATTAGTGTTGGAAGTTACTGGAAGAGAAAAGATGAAGATTGTAGAGCAAGATAACGATTGACAGACGATTTAAAAGATTGCAAATTATATAAATCGCAAAAGCAAGATAAAGGAAGCGAATTCCAAAAAACTGATGTTCGAGAAAAAAAACTAGACGAGTAAGAGTTTTTGGAGCACTTAGGAACAGTAACAGAAAAAGGATGAGAATTAATTGAATGACCAGTAACACGAGAATGAATTTTAGTAAATGGCACAAGAGACGCTAGCTCTTTAGAGCAGTGCCCATTATAGTATTTGTAGAAAAGAGAAAGAGAAGCAACATTACGACGATGTGACAGAGGTTGAACATTGGCTAAAAGAGCAGGGTCCAACTATGTTTACAATGCGTTTTTGCACCTTGTCTAAAAGAGAAAGGGCATCATTAGAAGATCTGCCCCAGATATGGCAACAGTATTCCATACAAGGCCAGATTTGAGATTTATAGAGATAGAGAATAGAATCCAGAGTAAGAAAGTGTCGAGCTCGATAAAGATTTGCAACCAATGTTTTGTTGAAATTCCTAGTTTAAGAAGACGCAAATGTAAAACCAGACACAAGTATCAAATTTACATATAGAAACTTCTAAAAACGCTGTAATGAAGAACATTGATGAAAAATTTGCAGCAAATGTTCTTCAAGAGAAATTTGCCTCACAAAATAAGATTATCTTAGCAACATGCGGAACACCATTGATAATTTCTAAAGGTATGGCCTTTAAACTAAAATAAGGTATATCTTGTATCTGTGTGCTAATTTTAAAAACTCTCTAACTATAACTATTAAATAAATCAAATGTAGGTAGTATCCATCGTGTTAATCCTGTGTGGACACATAATGATATGAAAAATCTGAAAATTCACAGACAATTCACTGGAAGAGATATTAGCAACATTGCTAAATGCATACGCGTAAAACACGGTCGAAAATCTATCGAATCAAATCTTACTAAATACTTACAAGAATCAAATAAATGTTTACAAGAATTCTTTGAAACAATCGATCTTGAAGTTTTTGATTCCCAAGAAAAATCTTTAAGGTATTATTTTTCACTATATAATGCTATAAAATAATTTTGTGAAACTTATTTATTTAATTAAACAATATTTTATTTTATTTTGTTCCTTAACTTTTTTAAATTTTAAACTCTTTTTAGTTAGCGGTAGATGTAACATTTAAATAAAGAAAAAAAGTTCTAATTTTATTAAGACCCTCCATTTTCATAAAAAATATTTCGGAACTTCTATGGAAAATCATTGAGAAAAGGAAGATTCAACCTCACAATGCTTTGGCAGTTTTTACATTATGGTTTAGTAATTCATACACAGTCACATTTTTTTGTTTTTAATCTGTTTTAGGTTAAAGTGTTGGCTGATGGTGGAGGTGGTAGTTATAAGATAGGTTGGCGTCATAAACATTTTAAACTATAAAAAAGATGTGCATCTTAAAAGAAACCTTTACTCACAGGTACAAGTAGGCATAATGCAATTGATTTTTCAAACCTATTATTTTTAATAACATACTATAATTGGCATTTAACTAAAAAAGTTTTATACATTTTGCTTAAATAACAGGTTATTAATCCTGATTTGGAAAAAGAGACATCAGTAAATAAAACCTTATTAATTGGAATTGTTCCAAGCATAGAAGAATGTTACTTGAATTGTGAGCAAATATAGAAAAAAGTTATATCGTCTATCAAAGATATCATATAATTCTGCTGATTCTGGGACAGAATCACTTTCTATAAAGCCACAGTAAATAAAATTTTCCATTTAAACATTTATTATATTATTGCACATCATGCTAATTTTGGGTTTCACATTAGGTGCAATACACCCCTGTTGTTTTCGCAATAAAAGTTCTGACACGGAAGATTTCTTGTTTGCATTCGGAGAAGTCAGAACTCTTGGATCAATCAAAGAAAACAATTTAGCCTGGATAGCAACTGGGAAAAAAGATTCGAAGCTAAAAGACTTTAACAACTGCAAGAATTTTTTGTAAAATGCCATACTTTATCAGGATGGAATGTTATAATTTTTTGGTATATAATTTTGGAGTTGCTAGATATAATGCTAACAATATATGTAAACAGGTTTTCTGTACAATTTTTTTTAACCTAAAGTTTGTTCAGCGAGACTGTGTGTGTGTGTATATATATTAGGGGTACCCGGTAATTCGGCGGTTTTACCGGGTACCCCGAATCTGCCATTTTGTTGATGTACCCGGCACCGGGTATCTTCAAAAATATTTTTAACAGACATTAAACTTAAAGTACTGCAACTAATAAATAATAATAAAACAAATTTTGCTTTAGTGTTACTTTGAATTGTGTAGTAATATTATTAGCCAAATAAAAAATAGTGCTTCAACCAATAAACTTCTTGATAGTTTCGACAGGGTTTTTAAAGTGGGGGGCACACTACCTTATTTCAAAAAATATTCCTTGATTTTTTACAAAAAAAAAATCAATTTTTTAAAAAAAAGAAAGAAGTTCCGTTCAAAAAAAAAGTAGGGGGAGGGGTGTGCTCCCTCAGAAAAAAGATGGGGCACACCCCTCTTGTTTCTGAGGTGAGCTATATACCATTGCACCACGGTTGCTAAAAACAAAGAAATATTGCATAGTTTTAGGGAGTTTTAATTGTTTTTTAGCTGTTTTTCAAAATCTAAATTTGGTTCAATTGAAGTTTTCAATCAATTATTGTCGGAAAAACTATTTGATAGTCTACTTTTAACTTATTACGAACGCTAATAACGTCTTTCATTGTCACAAACAAAAAATCATAAAAGAAATTAAAATGAAATATAGAAATAAAGCGTTGTCTAAATTATTTTTATCCTTAATATTTTAAATGGACTTGGTGCCCGGTAACCAGTCTCGGACCCGGTTTTTACCACCGGGTAACCAGAATCAGGGACTCAGCATTTTCTGGGTCTGGCACACCTTTAATAAATATATATATATATATATATATATATATATATATATATATATATATATATATATATATATATATATATATATATATATAGTGTATATATATATATATATATATGTATATATATATATATATATATATATATATATATATATATATGTGTGTATATATATATATATATATATATATATATATATATATATATGTGTGTATATATATATATATATATATATATATATATATATATATATATATATATATATTGTATATATTTGTATAAAAACTATATTGACCTTTAAATTCTCACATAACAAGTTCACTTTATGATAGTTTTATAAGGGATATTTTATAAACTATGTAAGCAGGTTTGGGGTAGGGTAAGCTACCCAAAAAAGCATGAATGCGTACAAAGAAGCGGGGATGGGTGTGTATATAAACAGGGGCAAACAAGGTGGGAGGGGTCCTAAAGTTGTGGCTTTACTTTGTATTTACTTTATAGATGATGCTTAACTGTTGCACTTTAGGTTCACACCTAGTGGACATGTGCCATCCAGGCAACACCGATCGGACACCCCCAGAACAATGCGTGCCCACTAGGCATAACTCTTTCACTATATGAAAGTAACTAGTGCAATAGATGCAACTAAATAGAAGAATGAAATATAAAAACTTTTGGAAAATAAATAAAATAAATAAGTACATTACAAAAAGAATATTACAATAAAAAAATTTCGAACTATATAAATATAATAAACTATATAACCAACAAAATATGGAAGAAAAAAAAAATTCAAATTCAAAAAATAAATGTTCTAATCGATACAAAGGAAAACCTATATACTAAATTTGAAAGATTTCTAAATCATCTAGACGTGGAAACAATGTTTTGAAATTTACCTCCATTTATAAATATTTATAAATATAAAAAAACTATTAAAAACCTATAATAAAAACAGTACTTACATCTCCTTTAGCAGCTTTTCCAACTAAAAATCTCAATTTACGTTCATGTTCAATGTCATATGGAACTGGGTTTGACAATTCAGTAAGCTTTTCATTAATGTCTTCTACTTCATGATCACTTTCAGATGACAAGCGTTTTTTGTGATCATCAAAGCTTGATCGAAATGAATTAACACTGTTTGATCGAGATCGACTTCTACTTCGTGATAAACCTCCTTTACTGGCTTTTGAATATATTTTATAAGGGCTTCTAGAACGATTTCGAGAAGAACTACGAGAATGATTTCGAGATTTACTTCTAGAACGATTACGAGGACTATTTGAATGATACCTTTTTTTACTATCATTTAATGTTTTATCTAGGACATTATTTGATTTTGTGTGACTTAAAGTTAATAGATTGTCATTATTATTTTCAGATTTGACCTGAGAATCAAAAGTAAATATATCTGATACTTCATTTGTAGTATTTTTCCTATAGTTTTTAAGTAATTTCTTACAATCTTCAGTATCATCTACTATATTAGTAGAAGCATTATTATCTAATGATTCACTTTTATTATTATTATTAACTGAAATATAAGTAGAATCTGATTGGTCAGTTTTTATATGTTCTGTAGTTTCTGACTGCTCAGTTTTAATTTGTTCTGTAGTTTCTGATTGCTTAGTTTTAATTTGTTCTGTAGTTTCTTGATCAGCTTTTAACTTTAAACTTGAAGGAGTGTTGCAAGAAAGTGATATTTTGGTAGGTAGTACATCGTGATCAACGGTCATATCAACAATTGTTAAATCATCTTCAAGTTCAGAGTGCTTCCTTTTTAATAATGAATTTTCTGTTAAATTAGTATCCAAAAATTGTGTTACATTCTTTGACTCACCATATGCCTCTTTAGTCAACCGAGGATCAATGGCTACTTGTAAAGACGTTGAATCATTTTCTTTTCGAATTGTTGTTTTATTTCTTTTTGATACAACTGGCTGAAGACGACTAAGTATATGACTTTCAAGATTTTCTGACTGAGGAACTAAATTGACATTATTGTTAATAAGAATATGGTTTTTTTTAATCTTTTCTTTTGGGACAGAAAAAGCAAGAGCTTCTATTAGTTTTGCTTCTCTCTTTTTAATTTCTTCTATAGGAATGACATGAGTAGGTGAAATACACCTTGGAGTTGTAGGTCCTGACATGCTTCTTCTTAATGGAGGTTCTTTGGATATTTTCTTTTTCTTAAATTTAGCAAATTTTGGACTATCTGCCATTCGTTTATTATCTCCTTTTGGATGGATGCCATTAATTGTTCTAAGTAAACCATCTCCATTCGGTTTGCAAGATATATTATTGTTAACAGATTCCTGAAAGTCAGAAGATGAAATTGTTTCTGTATCTTCAGCTAAAATATATATTAACTGTATTAATTCACAATAAAGAACAAAATAAAATATATTAACAATAGCCTAACAAAAAAAAAAACATTTATAACAGCAACCAAGTTAAATTATACTTCTTTTACATTCAATAAATAAAGATCTTTATGATGCTCTTATTTTAACAAGAAAGTAGTAAAAATTATATTTAATAATTATTAAAAATATATATAAAAAATGATTAGTCTGGTTTTTATATTATTATTATTTTTTTCAATTTTATTTAGATTAAGTTGTTAATAAAATTATAATGATTAACATTAATATATGAAAACTTTTGATTTCTTTATTTTATTTAACTTTATTTTTCAATTTACGACTATGTTATTAGATAAAAATATGAAAACTTTTAATTTCTTCATTTTATTTAACTTTATTTTTCAATTTACGACTATGTTAGATAAAAATATGAAAACTTTTAATTTCTTCATTTTATTTAACTTTATTTTTCAATTTAAGACTATGTTAGATAAAAATATGCTGTTTTTAAAAAATGTCATTTGTGCTGTAGCTAAGAATGTCTTAAAGTATTTTATCTTAAACTTTAAGATGATTTTTTTTTTTTTAAATTCACCTTTCTAAGGCCGAGAAGGCCACTACAGGTGGCTACTTAATCGTGTTTTTAACCCTCTCTCAACTCTTTAACTCTGAAACACAAACCTTGATAAACAAGGCTGCTGCACAGAAAAACAAGTTGAGCGCGGTACTAACAGAGACGTGGTGAGAATCGAACTCGGAATCTCTCGCTTATGAAGCAAGCGCTCTACCACTACACCACTACAGCATATAAAATACTTTAAACACTAAAATGATAACTAATTTGAAAAAAAAATCTTTTATTTAAAACAGCTATATTATATTTTTTTTGTTACTTTATTCTTTTATTATCAAGTTTATCTAACATAAGTTTTACCCTAACTTTAATTTTTTATAATGCCAACTTTGAATCAGAAAATATTTCAGAAGCCCTCGCAAAAAGATTTAATGACTTATTTAAAGAATAACAACAATTTAATTTAACAGAGCAAATTAAATCAGAACATATTTAGTCATTAAAAAGCTAAAACAACTGAAAGAAATATAGTTATTTATAAACCTGGAAATTTTTAAAATTATCTTTAAAAAAACATCAATATAAAATCTTATTTAAGTTATAATAGTTAAAATAAAAAATTCTTTAAGTTTTTATTTTAAAAGTTTTTCTAATAGCTTTTATGGTAACAAAGCAACAGTAACTTCTTTACATGGTTTCTTACAGAAAAAGCAAATTTTGATCGAATTTTTTTTTCTTTCTAAAAGTTAACTTTAGAAAAAGAGAATTTTTTTTTACAGACTATTATACTTTAAAGAAATATAAAAGTTTTCACAAACATTATGTAACAAATCACTCATTAATAGAAATAGCAACAATTAGAAAAGACCTAAACAATAAACTTATTGGGTAGAGTGCTTGTTGACTTAATCCAGTTGAGTGCATTTCCTTTTTAATAAAATGTAATTTTCAAAAATATGTATAAAAGATTTTTCTCTTTAACAAAATGTAATACTATATTCTTTGAGTCAATTAGCTGGTTTTCTTCAGACCAACTTGTTTAGGTGGTTTGAAAGTCACTAATTATATTCTCTAACGATGACAATTATTATTATAAAAGGTGTTTTTAGTGGAGTGTTTATGTTGAAGTATTTTATTAGACACAATATTAAGACAATTACTTTTTATCATTTTATTAATGGACATAATAGATCAGTTAACAACAAAAACAACAACAACAACAACAACAACAACAACAACAACAACAACAACAACAAAAACAAAAAGCTATTGATTTTCAACTTTAAAATCATTTTTATAATAATAAGGTAAATAATAATAACAATAATTATAAAATAATAAGCAATAGTAATAATTTATAACAATAATAATAACGATAACAAAAAAAAAATTATAAATAATAATAATTACTATAACAATAAGTAAAATGATATGTTATTTCTTATTATAATAAGTTTATTATTAGTATGGATGGTGTCACTCATACAGAAGTCTGATCAAAGGAGTGACACCATTAACAAAATTCAACAAACTAACAAAAAGTAGTTAACTACTAAAAATTTTGCTAACTAGCTTTTAGTAAACAAATCATTTTAAAAACTTAATAAAATATAAACCATGATTAAAATTAAGCCAACATTAGCTCCGCTCTAAAAAATTAATCACTTGAATCAACTAAAAACAAATTTTTAAAATGATATATCTCAAATTAAATCATTATACCAAAGGCTATTTGTAATTAATTTAACAAAATTATTGTAAACTGTAATTTAAAAAAGTATACCCTCTATGCTTAAAACTTGTTTTACAATCATTAACTGGCCAAGTACTGAATCATTGTTTGAGTCCCTAAAAGTATAAAGTTTATTTTATCTTTATTATCTATTATAACCTATTTTATCTTTTATTTATTTAAACTTATTTTATAGTTATAAATAATAGTCATTAAAAAATACAGCAAAAACTTGGATATTACACAAAATATAAAATTTTAACAAAACCAAAATTATTTTTTGAACAATTTTAGACTATTCATATTAAAAACAATGCATTTGCTGTATGGGCTGTGCAGGCATGCAACATCTGTGCAGGTATACAACATCTCTTAACATTCATTTCAGTCAATCTATATGCCTGCTGATGGAACCATAGATGATGCACAGTATTTTTATATAAATAATTACTATACTTTTTAGACAAAAATTTTTAAAAAAGATCTTTGTTATACTATTCATATCTTTAAATTTACATTCCTTAAAATCACTCCCACTTTTAAAGGCTACCTTAATCATGTGAACTGATTTTCAATGTGACTTTTCTAACAGCCACATTGTATTTAAAGAAATAGTTTTTTCATAGTTTTGTTAATGCCTTTGATAAGCTCACGAAATCGGTCATACTTGACAAGTTATAGTTATAAATTTTCCTGCTCCTTAAATTATTTTAAATCCTTAAATAACACAAAATTTTTAAATGACAACATTTATAATACAATTTTTTTTTTTTGCTTATCAGGTCATGCTAATTAAGATATTTCAGAAACAAGAACTTCTAAAGAAAACCGCAAGTTTTTCTGCGCCATTCACTAGTGTTTTTTTGTGGTGATCTGAAAAAAAGTATTAAAAACTTACTCAGAAGGTGACTCTGTTGGGCTCCAACAAGTAGAACCTGGATATGAATAACATTCACTCCCTAGAAATAAATTAAGAATTAAGTCAACACATCACAATTATCATCATGATGATCATAATCACAATTATGATCATCATAATCACTATCATCCAAAAACAGATTTAAAAAAAGGGGAAATGTATATAAAATGTATTTTAAGGCATGAAACTATTGACAAATATCAAATTAACTAATCAAAACATTAAGATAAAAGGTCAGGTCAGGTTTTCCTGCTACTGGTAACATGTAACCCAGTACAACCTGCTCCATGTCCTGCTGCCTTGTAGGATACGCTTTTTTAGGCAAAGGCTAGGAGAAGTTAACTCCGAATTAAAACACCCCCTGCCTTGGGGCTCTTGGTTGAGTAAAGGCTAGAGATAGTGTCTCGATAAAAATACTCATCTTGGGCAGATGTTACATGCATCCAGCTGCTGTCTTGTAGAAGGCCTCCTAGGCAAAGACTTAAGGGGTAAACAGATTCTATCTGTTGACCAGCCTCGCACCCCTTCCTCATCTATTAGGCTGGCGCAGATGTATTTTTAATACATTGTTTCCAGTTTAGGATGTTGAACGCTGAATCTTCTTGACTCAATGCGTGGGTATTGCTTGTGTCTCTATTTTTATGACTGGGCAACTCATTCTATTATCTCCTTATGAGGGTACAGCTCTAAAACTCAGTTTTATGGTTCTGAGGCCGGCTGGTAGTCAGGTTTCCCGAACTCTGTGGTAGCTCTCAGAGAGGCTGATTCCATCAACAGCCGAAAAATATCAGAGTACTAACAGTGCCATGTTGCGCATGGATGGTGTCCCTGTTTGTACTTTTGGTGTGCATTGCAGAGGCCACATTTGGAGCCCTTTGTTACGGCTTAGGGTTTATTAATAGTAATGAGGCTATTGCTTAGTTGTTAAATAGTGTACTGAGTACTATCTATACTTGAGTCAAGTTTTTTATAAATTTAAAATGACTAAAGTATCTAAAACTAAAAAACACAAAAAACCATCGTCATCGCCAAGTTCTCTAAACCTATCATTTACTAATATTCGTGGTCTTCGAAGTAACTTTTCTTCTGTTGAGTCTTATCTCTTGCAAAGTTTACCAGACCTACTTGCTCTTTGTGAGACTAATTTGAGTTCGGCTGTCCCATCTTGTGATCTTAGTGTTGATGGTTATCTTCCTTTAATTCGTAAAGACTCCAATAATCACATGCTTGGCCTGGGCATCTACATTCATAAGAACTCACCCATTTGTCGTGAAACTAGGTTTGAATCTACAGACTATTCATTTATGTGCTTTCGTTTAGCACAACTTCACTCTATCGCCTTTCTCTTTGTTCTATATCGCTCTCCTTCATCCCAAGATTGCACTATTCTTGATGTTAATTCTGATCAAATTGACCAAGCCCTCTCTCTTTACCCATCGGCCAATATTGTCATTGTTGGTGACTTTAATGCCCACCACACCGATTGGCTTGGCTCTAGTGTCAGTGACTCTGCTGGCGTTAAGGCCCTCAACTTTTGCCTTTCTCAATCTCTAACTCAAATAGTCAACTTTCCAACTCGTTTTCCAGACAACCCTAATCATTTACCTTCTCTACTCGACTTATGTCTTGTTTTGGATCCTAGTCAGTGCTCAATTTCTCCACATTCACCCTTAGGTACTTCTGATCACGGTTTGATCTCTCTAAAACTATTATCAAATTCTTCTACTTCATCAGAATCCCCCTATCATCGTACCACATACAACTACCTTAAAGCTGACTGGGACTCTTTCCGTGATTTTCTTCGTGATGGCCCTTGGGTAGAAATCTTTCGTCTTCCTGCTGACAAATGTGCTTCTTACATAACTTCGTGGATTCAGGCTGGCATGGAATCTTTTATTCCCTCTCGACGATTCCAGGTCAAGCCTCACTCTTCTCCTTGGTTTTCCTCACATTGCGCTGCAGCAATTTCTAATCGAAACTGTTACTTCCATATCTATCAGCAAAACAATTCTTCAGAAAACAGACATCTGTTCACTATCGCCAGAAACCATTGTAAAAAGGTTTTGTCTGACGCCAAAGCTCGCTATTCCCAGGTCATTAAATCTCGTATCTCATCACAAAAATTAGGCTCTCGAGACTTCTGGAGAATCTTTAACAGTATCAATAATAAGGGCAAATCTGTTATTCCTTCTCTCTTGTATGGTTCAGACTTTGTCACCTCACCTAAAGACAAAGCTGAATTGTTTGCTAAGAACTTTTCATCAATATCATCTCTTGATTCCACTAGTTGCGTTTTACCTGACATAGCCGTCAAACAGGTTGATCCCTTGCTTGACATTCGCATCACTTCAGCTTCTGTATCTAAAGTAATTTCCTGCTTAGACTCTTCAACAGCTTGTGGTCCTGACAACATTCCTGTTGTAGTCTTGCAGAGGTGTTCTCCTGAGCTTTCATCCATACTCTCTAAACTATTTAACAAGTGCTTATCAGAGTCTTGTTTTCCATCATGCTGGAAAGCAGCATCTGTTATCCCTATTTTCAAAAATTCCGGAGAGCGATCTGATTCATCTAACTACCGTCCCATTAGTCTTCTTCCTGTCATAAGCAAGGTTTTTGAATCTTTAATCAACAAACACTTAATCTCTCATCTTGAATCAAATAACTTACTTTCTGATCATCAATATGGATTTCGGTCTTCTCGTTCTACAGCTGATGTGCTAACAGTAATAACCGATAGGTTTTACCGTGCATTAGATAGAGGTGGAGAGGTTAAGGCTATCGCACTTGACATTTCTAAAGCTTTTGATAAAGTTTGGCATGCTGGTCTTCTCCATAAGCTTTCTTCTTATGGTGTAGCTGGTAACGTCTTTAAGATTATTGAGTCCTTTCTTTCCAATCGTAGTATAAAAGTTGTCCTCGATGGACAACACTCTTCTTCACATCCTGTAACTTCAGGGGTTCCTCAAGGTTCAATCCTTGGCCCTATACTCTTTTTAATTTACATTAACGATCTTCCAGATATTCTCACATCTAAGGTGGCATTATTCGCCGACGACACTACCATTTACTCTTGTCATGATAAGAAGCCTACACTCTCTGATTGCTTGGAGGGGGTATCTGAGCTTGAAAAGGATCTCACTTCTGCTACAGCATGGGGCTCACAGTGGCTGGTGAACTTTAATTCAGATAAAACTCAATTTTATTCGGCCAATCGTTATCGTAATAATTTAGATCTTCCTATATTTATGAATGGTAATGTACTAGATGAGTCATCTACCATTCATCTTCTAGGATTAACTCTTACTTCTGATCTTTCTTTTAAACCGTATATCAAATCCATTGCAAAATTAGCATCTGCTAAGGTTGCATCTCTTTATCGAGCTCGACACTTTCTTACTCCAGATTCTATTCTCTATCTCTATAAATCTCAAATCCGTCCCTGTATGGAATACTGTTGCCACATCTGGGGCGGATCTTCTAATGATGCTCTTTCTCTTTTAGACAAGGTGCAAAAACGAATTGTAAACATAGTTGGACCTGCTCTGGCAGCCAATCTCCAACCTTTGTCACATCGTCGTAATGTTGCTTCTCTTTCTCTTTTCTACAAATACTATAATAGGCACTGCTCTAAAGAGCTAGCGTCCCTTGTGCCATCTACTAAAATTCATTCTCGTGTTACTCGCCATTCAATTAAGTCTCATCCTTTTTCTGTGACTGTTCCTAAGTGCTTCAAAAACTCTTATTCTTCTAGTTTTTTTCCTCGAACATCAGTTCTTTGGAATTCGCTTCCTTCATCTTGCTTTCCTGATTCATATAATTTGCAATCTTTTAAGTCATCAGTCAATCGTTATCTTGCTCTACAGATTTAGTCTTTTCTCTTCCAGTAACTTCCAACTCTTATAGTGGTTGCTTGCAGCCTTGTTGGAAGTGAAGATGTTAAAAAAAAAAAAAAAAAAAAAAAAAAATCTACAAAAAAAATGTGACAAACTGCCCCATTGCTCATCCAACCTTTGAATCCTGCTTTTAATAAAGTTTATTAGAAGTAGGACGTTCTTAAAACAATAAAAATGTTACTTGGTTTGTTTTAGAAAAAACTTTTTAAAAAAATACTATTTAAAATCTGTAACGAACAAAAATTAAGTTGTTTAACCTATATTAAGGTACTATCCAATACTATTTTTATATAAATTAATTTTTTTGAAAATTTTTAAAAATGCTGAAAATATTCTGGAGATGTCAAAAACAGTTCTGTAGACAGGTTAAGAGTTTTTGGTACTAAAAATAGATAACTTTCATAGCTGATGCAAGTTTTAAATTTTTTTTTTAATTCATATTGGTGTCAAGTAAGAAAGTTTTACTTTTGAAAATTCTCTTACTTTTTTGAAAAATTATGTTGATCATGAATCTAAGAACAACATTACACAGAAAACTCTAATTTTAGAGCATTAATTTTTACAGTAATGCTTACACAATGTTTACACAACAGGTTAAAAATTTAATGCACATTCCTATGCTTAGTATATTTTCTTATGTTAAATCATAAGGAAATTTATTAACACTTTATTGTTTTTTATTGTTTTAGTATCGCTCAGACTGTTTCAAAATACCAAAAATACCATAAACAATAAAAAACCAATCATAATAGAGTTTTAGTCTGCTTAATTTTTCTTTTCAAAATTATCAGAGATCGGCAGAAACTAAAAAAAAGGAACTATGAAGTTGTTTTTTAATCTTTTTTAAGTTTGAATTGATAAAAAATAATTAGAAAAACAGCATACAGTAATCTGTTTTTTTGCGTTGTAACAGTGGGTTTCATAGGTCAACTGAAAGGTCCACAATAATAATTTTAATGTTAGTTTTAACTAGCTAAACTATATTCATTACTTGCGTTAACCAATAATAGACATAGTTTAGAAGCATTGTTTTAGTAATAGGTTAAATAATTTATCATGTGCGAATGCTACATATATATATATATATATATATATATATATATATATATATATATATATATATATATATATATATATATATATATATATATATATATATATATATATATATATATATATTATATGTATATATATATATGTATACATATATATGTATATATATATATATATATATATATATATATATATATATATATATATATATATATATATATATATATATATATATATTGCCGAATGCCAACCTAATTCTGACTACCATACATTATTTTCATGTTGTGACTTTTTATAAAAACTATAAATTACCCTGCTCATATTTCAAAAATTGATCTAGCAAATTTCCAATGTCACTGGCTTCAATTCCTAAAATTAGAATTTAGTTGAAATGAATTTAAAAAGCATGCTACATAACAAAAACATTTAAAAACATTTTAAATTTTATATAAATTTTAATAAATTTGTATTAATATATCTATTATTATTATCTAAGATATCATAAATGAACTCATTAACGTAAAAAGCAATGAACAATTGAATTTTTTTCACAGACCTGAAATTGAATTTGAAATTGGAAGAAGACATTCTCCTTGAATCATTTCTTGATAATCTGAAATCTACAAGCAAAAATTGTATAGTTTTAATTTTGCAGCAGTCAAAAAACAGCAACAAAAACTTAACAATAAATAATTGTTAAATATATAAAAAAAAGTATTTAACAATAATAATGGTACATTTCATGCCAAGTGGAGCTGAGATGGTTTATGTCAAACACGAACCATCTCACAGTGATGAAACTTGGTACATTAATTTACATTTTAAGAAAATTAAATCCTGAAAGTTTCCTAAAATAAAATTTTTGTGGTTTATGAAATATAGTTAAAACTTATGATTTATTCAAAAAAAAAAATTCACTAGCAAAAACATGTTTTGTTCATAGTTTAAAACTAAATTTTTTACAAAACCGTTTAGTTTTTTATAATATACAACTCTAGGCTTACTTTTGTAAAAAACTGACAAATGTTTAATGTCACATTTTATAAATAATGGCTACCTAAAAACCTAAAAAAAATTATCTACAAATATACAAAAGTGTTGATTTTTGAAGAATTATTATACAAAATAAGCTATTTAAGAAGTGAAAAGATATATTTTTTTAGCTATATGGTAGGCTTGCTAATTTTTAAAAAATTACTGATATGTTACAATTTAGTAAGCAACTATAGAGCCCTTAAAATGTCTGCAAAACCACCTAAACCTAGATTTTTAACACAAAACTATAAAAATGATTTAGGTAAATATAAAGAATAGCAAGGTATATGAAAAAAATGCATGGTATATTGGCAGAACCATTAAAAAAAGAGGGAAGATCTATTAGTGAAAAAGTAAAAAAAATCAAGATCATAACTTCTTAACTATTTTGATCCAAGTTGATGTAAAAGACAAATTTTTCAAAAGACTCTTATTAATATGAAAGAACTATACTTAGAGATCATTAAAAAGCTCATTTGTGAGTACCACCAGAATGAAAAACTTTTAGCATTAAAAATACTAGATCTTTTATAATAAAAAGATATCTTAACATCAGTTGCATGTAACTTAACAAATTAAGGTTGCAGAATTGTGATAATTGTGTTTCTTACTTATCTTACTAAGATAAAGATGAAGAGATAAAAAAGGTAAAAATGAAAAGGTAAAAGAAGTAAAAGGGTTTCGAATCATTTGCAACACAAAACAAACTCAGTTGGTTCTTTAACTCATGAAGCATAAAAACATTAAGAGAAAAATAATTACTTGCATTGCATATATTTCAGTGATGGGGCAGAAACTCCATATTATTCCTCAAGATATCTACAATGCGACTCCAACCATTTATTAGTCATAGGTCATCCTAGTTATATTTGAAAAGTTTGGAAAATTGTTTGGATAAAATATCCGGAAAAAATCCAGAATTTGTTTTCCCTTACTTTTTTTATAATTTCGCATTTAGCTAAGTTGATTCTAATTTTTTTTTTAATACTTTTTCATAATTTTTCTACAATGATGAGTGAAAAAGCTTAAAAAACAAATATATTACATATATACCTCAACTTGCATTTATCGAAAATGATTTGGATATCCGGAAAAACTATAATTTGAATAAATAAATATCTGGAAAAAGATAATCCCTGATTAGTTTATCTCTAGAAAAAAATTCTTTTAAAACCTGGAAAATGGAAATCAAAATTATTTTGAAGCTTACAGAAAGAAATTCAAGTTTCAGTTGAATAAACTATATTTAGAATGTTTTTAAAAGTTTTACATTTTGTTTTTTTAAAAAAAAATACTTTTTTTTTAAAAAAAGAAGTTTTTATTGATTATTGTTTTAATTATGAATATAAACTTTTATAAAAAATATTGTTCTTTTAAAGGGTAGCAGTGTACCCACCTATTTGTTTGACAAGTACCCGGGCAAGCATTTTCACAGTTTTTGACAGTCTCATTAACAATAAAAAAATTAAAAAAACATACCTATAATATGTTATTAAGAACAAGATCATGAGTTATCTGCAGAATGGCATTTTTTTGATTCTATAAATTCACCCAAGAAAGTGTATGATAAGTGTCAACAAAATGAATTCAAATGATGCAATTTATTACATTGCATAATAAAAATAAGAACATTACATGACTAGCAGGGATTCTGATAATGCCAACCTAGCTGACTCAAGAACACCACTTATACATAGCATATATGCCAAGGTACTGTGATGCAAATTTCAAAATCTTTTAATTTCGTTTGCCAGGGAATAAGTTAATTTGAATGTTCAAACTAAGTGAAATTTTGACTATATAGTACAGCAATAAAAACACTTGTAAAATGAAAACTACTTTATATAATATGATAAAAATTGGTGCAAATGTAGCATATGGCTGCACATAACTCTGGATAAAATTTCAGTTGGATCAGTCAACTGTTTAAAAATTTATAGCTGTTTTTATTTATATTTGAGGATTACTGTATTTGGTTACTATTTTTAAAATAAAGTTGCTTATGCATTGCATGAAAATATCAACATTTTCTAAGGTATTTATACCTTACAAAATGTTGTCAAAATGCTTGAAAATGTTAAAAAATGGTTGAAAAGCTTTTATAAAGTTACCTACATAAAAAGATATAAAACTTAAGACAAGATAACTAAAATAATTGACAAATAAAAAGTTTGGAGGGCCAGTCAGAGGAAAATCTTGAAAGGGAGAAGACTCCTTTGAATAGCAAGATGAGTCATTTTGTCATTAATTACTAATAAGTAATATCAAGTCATTAACTTGTCAAATTTCAAGTGTCATTAATTTAAATTATTACTTCCTTAAAAGGAATAAATTATGTAAAAATTATTTCCTTGTATTTTAAGTAATTGCCTCCTTGATTTTAATCATTTGAGATTAATAATATTTGCATGTATGTTAATGGATTGTTATCCAATATAAATTCAGGTTGGATTTTGTAAAAGGGATAGTTTAATTTAGTAAAATAAGATTTAGTGAATTGCCACAATGCTAAATCAAGCAAAGGTTCACAATGAAAATTAAAAATTTGTGTGCTTGCTTTGCCTAAAAAAATAACATCTTACTGCTTTTTAAACAGATCAAAAATGCCAACTGTTCAAGATAAAGATCATTATCAGTTATTTTCGAAAAACCAAAAGGACTCTGCGAGTTGTATAGAACAATTTTGCACAGGAAACAAGAGGGTAAAGAAGTTATACTCCCTCCTTTGTTTAATTTCAATCAAATACAAGTGAGACTTGAAACAAGAAGCACGATGTGTTGTTACCTAATCTGCCAAATTGGTCATTCAAAGCTGCAAGAAAAACTTCCTCTTGAAGAGCAAACCACTATTGAAAAAGAACCAAATGTCCGTTGCAGCACATGCCTCTGCCCTTTAGGAAAAACTATTCCACTATTCGATTAAGGCATCTAGTGGGCCTTTACTTACAATTATCCCAGGTAATATTAATACTTAAATATTTTTTACATATGTATTCAAAGAAAATCTTTAAAAATAGATTTTTAACATGTTTCTAATCACTTTAAAAAATTATAATTTGAAAGTTTTAAATAAACTTTCTGAACAAAGATTAATATAAAGATAAGTTATTTATGTTTTGGTTTCAGTTCAAAGTAGTACCCAGCCACTATCAACTGAACCAAAATTAACCACTTTAGCTCTTGTAAATGTACAATACAGGACTATTAAACAAGGGATTAGGGAAACTGGTAACCAAACTATCAGAACTGCAAGATCAAGCAGCAAGATAGTAGAGCCGAATTTTTATAAGAATTTCTTAGGAGCAGGTCAGCACTGAATTTGTTTTAAAATTTAAACCTACTCTTGGCCAACAAAATAGTTGAACTTTAGCTATATCATCTTCCTATAAACATCTATTTAGCAAGGTGTAGAAAAATTAAAAACTGTTTTTCAATAAGTAGGAGAAGCTAATTTAAGTTATTAAATTTAATTAACAAAAAACAACCCTCTATAGCTTTTTTCCTTAATCTTATACTATGACATTATTAAATATATTTTTTGTAAAAAAATAATATTTAATTATAAATAATTATTTGTAAATATTATTTGCATATCAATAAATCCAGCATATCTGGTATCCAGCATATGAAAAAAGATGTAGAGGATATATCTGTAATCTTAATCTTAAAATAAAGATGAAAACAAATGAAATTTAGAAGCTGTGTCTTGTTTCAAAATATTTTATATCACACAGAAAAGCTCATAGAAAGCTTCAATCTGAGAAGGTGTGTAGTATTTGTTTTAGATATATTTGTTTGTTGTAAAAACCCTTTGTTTGCAGTCATCAGATTTAATTTAAAATATTAAACTAAATGAACTTTTTTAAAAAAAAAAATCACTCTATAAAAAGACTGCAAGCAACCACTACTTAGGTCAAGAGTTAACATAAAGCAAAGAAGAAAGTTAAAAAGCAAGAAAAAATCTGACAGAAAAAGTCATGAAAAATTATACTCATAAAAAATGTTAAATAGAGGACTAAGCAATATTTATAAATGGGCAGCCTTCGGAATTAGGAAAAATGAAGTCGGCAATAATTTAACAACCTTAATCTTTTAAAGGTCAGCAAAAAAAATTTGATACAAAACTTTTACCATAAAACATAGAAACAAGGTCAGCAATTTCTTGCTGACGTCAAATACGTTTAGGTTGGCATTGTCGAAAGCCTACCCTAATTCCGAGGGTTGAATCAGAGAAGCTAAATCTATATAAATGTATAGTTGTATAATAAATATATATATATATATATATATATATATATATATATATATATATATATATATATATATATATATCAATATACATATATATATATATATATATATATATATATATATATATATATATATATATATATATATATATATATATATATATATATATATATATATATATATATATATATATTAGTTCTATTATTTTATGTGACTTCTTCAGCATTATAGTTTTTAACTATTTTATTCAATCTAATTTTTTAAAACTGTTTTTTAATCACAAAATACAATTTTATTAACTTAAGGTTGCTTTTGTTTATAAATAAAAAACATTTAAAAATCTTATTTTTATAATTATTAATCTTCTATTATAACTAATCATAAAAACAGGGGAAGGGGAGAAAATGTCTATAAACATCAATCTACTCTTAGTGAACTAATATGATAACAAAAAGCTTTATTTTTGTAAGTATATACTTTTTATTGAATAAAAATTAGTTGACAGATTTTATGCATCTATCTCTATATAGGTTCAAATTAAGTCACATTTAACATTAATCTACTTTGAGTCATTTGCTGCTAGTAAAATAAATACTGAACTATTAGGTATTAAAATTTTACCTCCTTAAAAATATTATAAATATTCTTACCTCTTCTAATTGCTCAGTTAATGATGCACTAAAAACGTCAGAATTAACAATATTGCAGAAACTATCTGAAGAATTATCCATGATATGGGTATAAGTCTCTTTGATAATATCAGATTCTTCTTTAATTTTAGCATAATTATTTGATGGCAAAGCCATAGGATTTTCACACATTTCTTCAACTAATTTCAACTTTTATAAAAACTTTCAAACACTTTCACTGCTGACAGTGGTATAAAAAAACAATATCAAGTAAACACATTGAATGTATAAACGTTTAAATTACTTCCACTTTTAACAAATACAATGTTATCCAGTAACTTAATAACCATCAAATTTCAATATAAACTATCTGCATAATACATGTAAACAAAACTAAAAATTTTCATAATATACTCTTCTCTTAACAATAGATAATATTTATATGGCTTTTATAAACATTATTTTACAACAGCTTGAGGGCCTTTCAATTACGTATTCTACCTGATAAAGATATAACAAAATTTAAAAATAAGAAAATCTCTATTTAAATTATACGCATTTATCCGATAAATTAAATTCATAACTTTATTAGTCATTTATATAGGATACAAACTTCGTTTAACTAAATCATGTGGCACGCGTTATCGGCAACCATGTTTTGTACACTAATACAGTAAACTTTAAATGAGGGGGAGGGTGTTTCCAAAAAAATATCAACAAATAAAGTATTTCCATAAAGTACGTACGCTCGGAGGGGAAGAGGGGGTCTGCAAATGGTGTATATTAGATGGGAGGGCACTGGTCAATTATTAAAGAAAAGAGATACTAAATTTAAAAAATCATAAAATGTTAGATAAATAGGTTAAAAGCATAGGTACTTTTAGGGAGGTGGAGGGTACTCGAAAAAGCGTATTGCAAAATGCGCGGGGAGGGGGGATGGACGAAAAAAAAACACGTATTTTAAGGACGATCCCCTAGACGTTTCAAATACTTGTTTAAAATCAAAGACCCATGTCTGCTATTTTTTAATGTAACAGGCCCGTAGCAAGATTTTTTTGTTGTTTGAGAAAGGTAGCTTAGAGACATGGAGCACACTCCAAACATTATAAGTTTATGTTTATGTTCAAATAAGGAACATTTGTAAAAAATTCAGATGGTCGGAAACAAATAAAGCTCTAAATCGCTCCCCCCTCTTATTCTTTAATGTGAGAGCAACAAGTTTATAAAATATTTTTTTTACTATTTATAACTAAATCTATATTCATCGACAAATTTTAAATTTCGTACAACAATCTCTTAGTGTTCAAAAATTATGACAATATAAAGTTTGAACCCCCCAATTGGAGAGAGCTGTAAAATTAAGCCATAAAAAGTGAACAAAAAAATATATAATTTCGTTGTTATCACGTTAAGGGCAGGGGGGTTTAGGGCTTTATTTGTTCCCAGGCTCCGGTCATCTAATTTTTTTTTTTTGAAATGTTCCTTATTTGACATAAACATAAACTTATAAATGCTTGGAGCGTGTTCCATGCCTGAATGTTACCTATATCAAGTAAGAAAAAAATTGCTACGGGCCTGTGTAACCCTAAGAGGAATTTAAACTCTGATATTTAATACGCTGTTTTTCTTTAATCAAGTCTTGATAAAATGTGTAAACCTAAAAAGATGTTTGTATCGATATTTTTTTAAATAGAGCTTGTTCTCTTTTTTATCGATCTCTTTGAATTTATCAATTAACGATTAGTACATTGTGTGCCGAAGAGACCACCAGGTTTTATGTCGTGTCAATCAAACGAATTCTTTTTTATAAGAATTATTTGTCTTATAACAACAGAAAAGAGCTTTTTTACAATCCTAACAAAGCGCAATGTGTCATAAATGGAGCTAAAGAGTAAAATTAAGGTCGTCTTAGCCAGTTTAAACATTTTAGATTCATATACAAAAAAAAAATATTCAAGACTATTTGTTCTATGAGAATAAAAAAGAGCATTTATCAAATCAGAAAAAAATGCCAAGTGTCACAAATGGTGCAAAGGGTAAAATTAAGGAGGTCTAAGTCTATTTAAGCATTTAGTTTGCCCTTTACAAATCATATAAAAAATATATAAAAATCTGACTTTTTTCGCGTTGCAGATTGTTTTAGTTTAAATTATGATTTATTATGTGAACAGTTCTGTGTAGTAATTATATGTAATAATAGAACAGTTTTATGTAATATGTTATGAACAAAATTTTTAAACAAGGGCCGCGAATTATATATATATATATATATATATATATATATATATATATATATATATATATATATATATATATATATATATATATATATATATATATATATATATATATATATATATATATATATATAGAGAGCAAGTTTATTTCTTACTTGATATACGTAACTTTCAGACATGGAGCACGCTCCAAGCATTTATAAGTTTATGTTTATGTCAAATAAGGAACATTTCAAAAAAAAAAACTTCAGATTACCAGAAATATAGTAAAAACTTACATGATCGATATTAAGAAATAGAAGAACGCGGGGACTCGTAGAAGACTGAAAGGTTTGTTGTTGAGAACCACTAAAAAAATTACGTGTTAAAATTTTTTATAATAATATATTCTCAAAGTAAATACAGAAATTTACAATGAAGAATAAGGAATAAAAAAACTCAGCATTTCAAGCTATTATACTAGTAGAATATATAATACAAGCTATTATACTAGTAAAAATAATTTACAAATAAAACATAAACAAAAATTTAAGAAAAATCTCCGTTATAATTATAAAGATGCGTTTTCCAATTTTAAAATTACAAAAAGCGTTAAATAACAATTAATAAATTGTTAAAGTTTAAATTAAGTTAAAAGAAAATAGATATATCATCTAGCAAAAAAAAGAAATGAGAGAAATTATTGAGAAAATTTTTTCAAAACTATTTTATTATTATTATTATTTTTATTTTTTTTACTTGAATACTTTGTTATCTTCATAATAAATCATTTACAATATTTTTTAGTTGAGATTTGACGAGACAAGTAGAAGACAAAAGCCTTATCATCTAGCCCCTTTTTACAGTATTGTACTATTTACATATTTAACAAATAATAAGTTATCATATTAAAACAATATTACAATCTCGGTAAAATAATATTAAATACTTTTAAATGAAAAGTGTTACATAATTTTTTAATTTTTTTTTTCTTAAATACAATATCACTTAAAATAAAATAAAAAAAAGCTTTTTAACAAAAGATTTTAAACATTTTTTATCCAACATATATCTAGTTTTATACATAATTCAAAAACTTTTTTTTTAAAAAAAGTATTTGAATTATGTATAAAAAAAATACTAATTTTTTTTTTTCCAGAAAAATATGAACAAGGTAAATTTACATTGAATATATTACTGGTAGGACTTCCAGAAGATCACATGATCTTATCATGAAGCCCTTTATAATCTATATAACGAATTAAAAGGTAGAAAATTTACAAATATTAAAAATTACATAAGCGTTAGAATATTCTTCAGATGTTAAGCAAGTTTTAACATAATATTTTATAATATGGATATATAACATTCTCAATATTGAACAATATTATAATATAAAGTATTCAGCATATATTGTTTAAATAATATTCATCACACAGTCGACAAAAATATCAAATAACTTGAAATACTAAAAATAAATAAATACATTTTGTGTTGAAAAGATTATTTCTTTTGTTTTCTTTTTAAAGGAGGAATAAGACCATTTAAAAGAAAAATCAAAGTTAGGTAAAACTATTTTATTCCAAAGAAATGGACCACGATAAGAAATACAAAACTGGTCAATTTTTGTTTTGCAAAACGGCTCTTGAATATTTATCACAAAGTTCATATTTGTTTTTTGGTTTCAAATTATAGAGATTTATAAATACACTTGGAGATAAATTTTCTTTACATTTAAACATAAAACATAAAGTATTAAAAATATTAAGTTCGTATATATTTAAAGCTTTCATTTCTATAAGAAGTGGTGTTGCGCTTGAAAAACGATTTCCAAAATTAATTATGCGAGCTGCGTGTTTCTGATGCCGATAGAGAGATTTAAGTGAGCGCTTCCCTATATAATATTGGCATAGTTTATATGGCAATGAATAAATGAATAATATAGTTGAGTTAGTTGCTTTTTATTTAGTATATATCGAGCTTTGTATAGAACTCCAATGTTTTTAGCAACTTTCATTGAAATACTATCAATTTGCTGACTCCAAGATAAGTTTTCATCTATTATGACTCTATTATGATAATACTTATTGAAATTTTATTTTCTAGTAGATTAAAGTTCTCTTTCCAACTTAGGGTAGATTAGGGTAATATGAGCACCTTAAGCAAAAATTAAAATATTTTCAAAAGTAAATATGCTGGATACAAAATTTTTCAAATAAACAATTTTTAGGGATCCCTATTCATAATCTATTTAGATATTTGGGCACTTGACACTTTTTCTTAAAAACATAGAGGTTTTAAAAAAGTAGCAAAAGTGCTCGTATTACCCTGACCCTTTGGTAATATGAGAACTTTAAATTAGCTCAAAAAAATAGCATTAATTAAGTAAAAAAAGACCAACCTGCTTAATAGAACTAATTGTTGGAATATAAGTGATTAACAAAACATATCATTAAAAGATCAAATTTTAAGCTACATTTTGTTGAAACAATACTACTATGTTTTCCGCCAAAAAAAAAAAAAAATTAATACATTGTTTTTTCAATTTTGTTAACTCAAACCTTTGAACAATAAAAATTAAAATTTTTTAGATTTAAGTTACAGAAAAATATTTAGTATTGTTAATATATTAAAATTTTTTACTATGTTTTGTTTTTATTCAAGAAGCAATTAAAAACCACTGCTATTTTAGGACTTTAAACTAAGCAATTTCAATGAAAATCACTGGGTAATTTGAGCATGCTCATATTACACAAAAATGGTATCTTTAAATAAAGTCAAAAATAAATATTTCTATGCATTATTTTTCAAACAAAAATGAATTAGATTTTTAGCTAATATATTTATCTTTATGAAAAAATTAATTTCATTATTTTAGTACCAAAATAACGCGCCACAGAATTATTCACGCTTGATGATTTTTTTTAACAAAGCAAAAAATTTAAAAGCGTTTTAATTAGATGATATCCGCTAATTACTGCGTATAAATTTACGCTAATTGTACTGATTCCTGTTATCACCACATAAAGTCGATTCGAAAAACAAAAAGCAACTTTAACTTTACTGCTTACATCTAATAAATCTTTAAGTATGCTCATATTACCAAGGTGCTCAAATTGCCATAATCTACTCTACTTTCCCATCGATTAAAACGCCTAAGAATTTAACACAGAATGTCTATTGTAACTTAGTTTTTTTAATTAAAATGTCCGGGAGTTTTAAGGGAAAGGTGTCTGATTTAGAAGATTTGGAAAAGAGAGTATATTTACTTTTAGTTGTGTTCAGAGAGAGAGATTGTTGGCTTTAAACCATTCATTAGGGTTTTCATCTTCACGATTCATAGTGGTAAACACTATGAACCACAT